TGGCCCCGGCGCTCTGCCCTGCTAGCGTTACATCGCTCGGGTCTCCGCCAAAAGCTCTCGCATTTCGCTGCACCCAGCGCAGCAACGTCACCTGGTCTCTGAGGCCCGCATTGCCAGGGATCTTGGGAGTATTTAGCGAGAGAAAGCCAAACACGTTGATCCTGGTGATTCAAAATTCATTTTCTTCTATCAGACTATTTTACCCAAGATGATGAGCAAACTGAGTACGTAAATTAGAACCCATTTAGCTGATACATTCTAATATTACAACATAACTAACGTTTGACTAATTAGTTAATTACCTACCGATTATAATACAACAAACATACCTATAGTTGAAAGTTATCACAATTATCCCCTTGCTTACGAGATACTCTGGTCCGTGAAGGTCAGTGTCTCCGGATCCCGACTGAAAGCCTCCGCCATGAATGAAAACTAATATAGGAACACCTTTCTTGTTTCTATAATTGTCACAGTCTTTGTATTCGAATTCGTCAGCACTTTCTAAGTCTGGAAGAGCTTCCAAGGGTACATGGACGTTGGCGTAGATACAAGACTCACTCATACCCCGTTTGGGGGCTATCATACGTCCGTACAGCTCGTCGTGCTGAGGGCATATGGGGCCTTCCTCTGTGGCATCTAAATTGTGAGGCCACGGTCTCACTGGCTGGAGCTCCTGTAATATGGAGAGATATATTCAGACTGGAATGGTTATATATTTCAATAAAACACCTCGCATGATAATCACAATGACTAGCCCACCTTAAAGCGCAGCTCCCCCACGGGTTGCTGGCCGTACGGAATTCCCCGGAAGCTCGCGTACTCAGTGTTGTACTCTCCACGTCTGCGCAGGCCGCATACCCACCCAGAATCAATGCGCATGCGCACATCGCATCTAAACGCACTAGACGAGAGGATGTGAACTGGAAATGTATTAAAACAATAATTCCACTTGTCATAAAGTGTAACTGAGGAACACAATAAGTTTTGAGAGGACTGGTGTACAATAGCATAAGTAGCAGTCCAGTAACTTACTAGCGAAGCAGGCGGCGACCGCCAGCGCACTGTAGCGCCTGAGCATGGTGTTCAATGACCACTGCCACTTTAACGCTCAGCTCTTATGAGCTGCATATAAATGCCGGCCGTATATGCGTGTAATGTAAGGCCTAGAGCACACCTGACTCGTACTGCCAGTGCCATTGGCTGTTTGTGAAACAAATGGTTTGGAATTATTTAATGATTTGAGATTGGAAATGATACGTAATCGTCCGGTTAATATAGGCATAAAAATAGTTGTCAATTAACAAAAATTTCCACAGAGCCAATTAATTATTGGTTTGGATCGCCATCATAAATAAATAGGTGTTCAAATTAACTGATCCCGTTTGTACGTTAAAAGTTATTCGGGGTCAAAAGTCTAAAATTAAGGTGTTTTGGACTTTTCTCAAAAACGATGAGATTTTTCGAAAGATTCTCTACAAATATGGTCTCAATAACTCTTTCTAGAAACTAAACATTCCTGAGTTAACTCAATTCTGAATGTCACGTTATATATTATTCGATATGCACATGTTTCCCCATTACCTGAGTAATACAGTGAGTAGACACACATTTAAAAAAAACTGATGTCTCTGTTATAATAAGTCTAATAAACTTTAATCGTATCTTTAAAGGAAAGGTTAGTACTTCTAAAGTAAGTCCACCTCGTACAAGAGTGCGAGGAAGAGAATCAGACTTTATCGTTGAGGTAGATGTGCTGATAGCTTTTACATACATTTTTCTTTCACGGTGTTCTTGGTACACAGATTTTTTTTATGTAATAGGTCGGCAAACGAGCATACGGATTACCTGATGGTAAGCAATCGGCGCCGCCCATGGGTGTCCATGGGCGGCGCCGATTGCTTACCAACGGAAGAGTTACGAGTGCGTTGCCGACCTTTTAGGGATTTGGAGACTTAGGGATTGAGGAGGGATTGGGGGAGGGGAAGGATTTGCATTATTTAACGAGAAATCAGTCTTGAAAATCGAGAAAAAATTGACATTTGATTGACATGTGTGAGTGTAATTTGACAACCAAACCTACCTATACTCGGAATTTTAATTCCATTCCAGATTTGACAATTTCAGTGTTGCAACGTTATGACACGCAATAAATAGTGACGTTGCGAAATTATTCGATGTGGAAATCGAATATTTCTGAATCGATTCCTCTCGTTCATAAATTTATTCTCGTAAACTAAGTTTATCAGGAAATAAAATATTTTGGAACCGATAATTTAGTTTTTTCGATCTGAGACTTTTCTTTTGTAATTGAGTGTGAAATTAATAAAAAATGTGATCATGAAGGAACGTGACAAATAAAACAGACATTTTATAAATTGTCGCCGTCATCGCTATCGCTATCGCTGTTACTTTCTGTAACAGTTATTTATTTATTTATTTATTTATTTAATAAATGGTGAATCAACAGCAGCTACATTATACAATTTTAGCAGAAAAATAGTGACATTGAGCCACTTACAGATTCACACGAATAGTGCCAGAATAGTTAACAACTAAGACCAAATTAAAATTTTAAATATATTCAAAACAGTAGGCACACCGCAAGAAAATTATATAAAGAAAAAATGATGTAAACATATTTAAAAAAACATAAATTAGTTATTAAAAAATTCTCCACTTATCATGGTTCTAGCTTTTCTCAGGGTTGTATAAAAGATATCTACATCATGCTTGCTACTGATGTCGTTAAAGGTACGACAAGCTCGACACAAAAATGAGCTCTGCCTGTAGTTGTTATTTGCAACCGGGGGACAAAGAGGTGTGTGCTTCCTAAAGGATTTCGAGGGATCATTGAGAAACAACTTTACAAGGAGTTCAGGGCAATCAACCCTACCGTTTGCTATGGATAGGATATAAGTAACGTCAGCTATCTCACGACGTTTATAAAGTGGAAGAAAGTGAAACTGTTTGCAGAGTTTATGTTTAAGTTTAGTTTATTATGAATTGTGTCTGTGATTTTTATTGTCAATTAACATATATAGCTTACTTATTTTTTCCTCTTCTTTGAAAACATGGGATACACATTTAGACCATTCGGTAGCCGTAATTTTTTGAATGCCTTCCTGAAACTGATTCACTGATTGTTTATCGATTTTTGTGTTCATCATTACACTGTTATATGTGGTATCATTATTTCACAAAATGACAGTGGTCAATGTCAAATCAGGAATCGAATTAAAAGTCTGACTATAGGTAGGTAGAACAGAGTATAATTTTACACGCTAGATGGCGTGCAACCCGTTAACCCGTAACGTTGCGCAAATGACAGTGCCACTAGTGCCAGATCCTGCCGCATCCTTCCATTACAAAAAGTGTAAATGAAGTAAACTGATTCAATGAAAATAGGACACTTGGTTACTTAATTGTTATTATGTTACGCATATACATAGGTACGAGAACAAAACGAGTAATTTGAATAAAGGATAATTACGTCTGAAAATGATTAATGTATAGATTTTCACAAGTATTCGGTTCAAATGTACACAGTTAATCAAAATAATGTGTTTAATACGTTATTAATGTTTATTCAAGTAATTACTTGTTGTTATTTTTTAATATTGTTTTATATTGCTTATTTTGATGCAACGAATTTTTGTCGAAATTTTTGCATATGTATATGGAAAGTAGTGATGACTGCCAGTTTACCATAGATGAATTAAAGAACTTATGTCAAGGTGCAGATTTGGATAACAGAATTATTAATATACTATTATGGACATTTGACCCCGAATAACTTTTAAGGAAACCACGGGATCAATGGGGACTTTTGAATATTTATTTATAATGGCAAACCAAAGATCTGCACCATGTAGCTCTGTGGGATTTTTTGCTAATTCAAATGTGTATATTGACCATACTAGTGACATTGCTAATGATTTTGTCACTCCGCATCTAGTGCGTATCATTCTTTATAGATAATAGCGTATTATTATGCCCTTAATAACTCCAGCTAAGTAACGTTATCTCCGAAGTGGGGAAAATAATCAAATCACTTCTCTCGACCTGGGTTGGGCAAAAGAAAGTGTTTGACTCTGACTCTTACTGATTAAAAAACACATTTCCATCTCCTGCTCCAGGTCAAGGCCACGATAATTATTGCGTTTGCACCCGCAAACCCGGCTGGACATACACCTTAGTCTTATTAGGTCCCATTTCTGAAGGTATGATGGATCTCGCGTATATGCATAAAATATGTTTATATTATAAAATCATCACCCAAAAAATCTTAAAATAAATGTAAAATACTTTTTGTTACAGGTAATTGACTTACATTTCTTCAATATCAGATTTGGGTAAGTCGTTGAGATAGCAATTGTTGTGAATACTAATGGTGGAAGTGGTCGGTACTAACTCGGTACATACGCAGGACAAATAAACTTAGTTGTGACGTCATTAGTATTGCGTCAAATTAAAGAGACGCGTTTTCCTGAATAACAACGTGCCTTATCGTAACATGAAACTGCAATATCAGGGAGTGGAAACCTAAATGTCAAACGTCTTGTTCTTCCATGTTTATTTATCTGTTACAAAAAAACAATAATAACCAGACTTTCACAAATTAATTAAATGTTTTACCGCAAGTTTATAGAAATTGACAAAGAGAGTTCTTCAAACGTCGATCAATGACAAAACTGCCCGTCCGACTAATTGATAGCTTAAAAATAAATATTGCGGTGCCCCGTAAACTAACATTAGAATCTTTAGAAATCAATTATTTTGTAAGTTTCCTAGACTTGTTCTCGTGGCTTCTTCTGCGACAGATAGTCTGTTCGTTGCGATGCTTATGTAAATTATCTTCGAATGGTTTGCAGAAATTTTCACAATAAACTAAACTGTACACACAAAATGTATTTATTATAAAAATAACGGTGGACCTCTAAAACAATACATATCCTTAAACTCAATCAACCTGCTGAAATCACATATAGCTGTCGGTTGCCCGTCTCTGCTTTAGTTCTCTATCAGGTTGTCATTATGGAAGTATCCAGTGAGGAGTTCCTGAAAATAAAATAAACAATTTAGAAACCCAAATACGAGTATATGGACACTGAACTTGTCTTATTTGAGCACAGACATACCTCGCAATTTGTTCGATCATGTCGAAGAACTTGATTATCTGTCCTTGACACTTAGTAGGCACTACGTTGTCGTATACTGTAGGCTCCTGGATGTTCTGATAGTTTAGATGGTCTGCCTGCACTGGATACCAGCCCCACTCGGAACAGGTCGGCTTACTAAAAGCACGTGTAATGACTTGATTAATGTGTTTCGTTGTTAGACACTTATCCCATTAGTATTTTCTCAATATATAATCTATAAACTTACTCGCAATTCATGAATTCAATCACAAATTGAGTCATCCAATCCTTCATCGAGTCGTCCCTATTTACTGGAGGGAAAGATTGCCTGTCATCGAGAAGAGCATTTTCTCGGAAAATGTTGGTGAGATCTTCAACGTGAGCTGTGCCGTTGTACTCCAGGTTGAGACCTGCCTTTACCGCGCTGAAGTCAGCCTCGTAAGCGAACTGGTACAGGTAGACTGGCGCCGCGTCGTGCATTTTAGCCCTCCATTCGGATACTTTAAATGCTGGATACATAAACAATGTGTCTCGGCAGACTTCTAAATAGTCCTTAATATTTAATTTCCCACGGAAGTACCAGTCAATCACTTTGTTGGCCAGTGCGAGTGCTACATTAGGCAGCGTTGTAAATGGAATCTCAAGTCTTAAAATACCAAGTGGGTTCGCTTTTATACGACCCAAAGCATCTATTTTTAAAAATCTTCTTTTGAAAAATTCACACTCGTTGTTGGTGAAACCGACTATCATGGGATATTCTTTCCCCCGGCCTTGCTCTATGAGTTTGATTGGATAATCGTCTACAATTCTCTCATAATCTGGTAATTCGTCTTCCCTCACTGGTACAAAGGAGACCAGCCCGCTCTCGTGTTGGAACACGGTGTTAGCATTTAAAATGTCCTCAAGTGGAGTTCTAACAAGTTGCTCATGGACGAGGTCCGGGTCCGTGGAGTTGATCCCTAAGATTGTTAGAAATCTAGTAGCAGCTTGTTTTGCATAAATCGGTGAAACTGTATAATAAGCCGGTATAGCTGAGCCACTCATTAAAATAACCCTGAAAAAAGATACAGGTCAATTGTTAATGTTCTAATACGAATAAGAAAAAAATGCCAGAAACATAGTACGGAATTACAGGATGTTTACAGTAGGAATGAGTGTTTCAGTTTTCGCTGTTTAACCACTATGCAAATTTTATATGACCATTATCATTATGTGACATTTTAATTTAACGTATATTTACTAAGCCTCTAAACATATTTGACAAATATTCGCTTCGAAACCATTTTTTTACAAACAATTATGTATGTATCTATATTTATTGTAAGACATAAATTCAGCTACTAAATGAAAACATCTGTCAATGAGCCATTTTGATTTAATTATAAAATTTCCAAGTGTAATTTCCTGAACATGTCTGTGAATTTTACTATAAATCTGAACTGCCATGGGACAACCAAACCAGTCTTATTTTTCTAAGGCCATTAACAAATCTGTTTATACGTGTACACACAATATTATCTTGGGCATAAACTCAAAAATTAAGTTATATATAAGTACTTTTTCTATATGTTACGGTATTTGTATATTGTTATATTGTTTATTTTTGATGTAAATTACTTAACTTTCTGAATTGTTCTTACATTCTTTATGTGTATTTACGGTTAGATTATTGTCAAAAAGCCATTTTGTTTTTTTAATACCGCACCTTTTAATATTAGTTTATGGTTATCAATCTCTTATGTTATGATTGAGTATAATAACTGGTATGTTGCCTGCAACTAACGTACATTTGTGTTTATTTGCTTTTGGAATGTCATTTATGTAAAACAATAATAGGAGCGGCCCCAATACACTCCCCTGGGGAACTCCAAATCTGTTCAATTTGTAGATTGATCTATTTATATGCACGTTAATTAACGTTTGTTAGGGAAATGTATAATATTTTGAAATAGTTAAATCCGATAAGTACCTAGGCAAGGCTCACCCACGCATGAATTAATTAGTAGAAACTCCTGATTTATAGTAATTCACCTTTTAAACAGTCCCTTGGTGACATTTGACAGAGACAGTAAATGTGCGCAGCTGGCCCCGGCGCTCTGCCCTGCTAGCGTTACATCGCTCGGGTCTCCGCCAAAAGCTCTCGCATTTCGCTGCACCCAGCGCAGCAACGTCACCTGGTCTCTGAGGCCCGCATTGCCAGGGATCTTGGGAGTATTTAGCGAGAGAAAGCCAAACACGTTGATCCTGGTGATTCAAAATTCATTTTCTTCTATCAGACTATTTTACCCAAGATGATGAGCAAACTGAGTACGTAAATTAGAACCCATTTAGCTGATACATTCTAATATTACAACATAACTAACGTTTGACTAATTAGTTAATTACCTACCGATTATAATACAACAAACATACCTATAGTTGAAAGTTATCACAATTATCCCCTTGCTTACGAGATACTCTGGTCCGTGAAGGTCAGTGTCTCCGGATCCCGACTGAAAGCCTCCGCCATGAATGAAAACTAATATAGGAACACCTTTCTTGTTTCTATAATTGTCACAGTCTTTGTATTCGAATTCGTCAGCACTTTCTAAGTCTGGAAGAGCTTCCAAGGGTACATGGACGTTGGCGTAGATACAAGACTCACTCATACCCCGTTTGGGGGCCATCATACGTCCGTACAGCTCGTCGTGCTGAGGGCATATGGGGCCTTCCTCTGTGGCATCTAAATTGTGAGGCCAAGGTCTCACTGGCTGGAGCTCCTGTAAAATGGAGAGATATATTCAGACTGGAATGGTTATATATTTTAATAAAACACCTCGCAAGATAATCACAATGACTAGCCCACCTTGAAGCGCAGCTCCCCCAGGGGTTGCTGGCCGTACGGAATTCCCCGGAAGCTCGCGTACTCAGTGTTGTACTCTCCACGTCTGCGCAGGCCGCATACCCACCCAGAATCAATGCGCATGCGCACATCGCATCTAAACGCACTAGACGAGAGGATGTGAACTGGAAATGTATTAAAACAATAATTCCACTTTATGACACTGAGGAACACAACAATAATGTACACTCGTATAATAGCAGTAACTTACTAGCGAAGCAGGCGGCGACCGCCAGCGCACTGTAGCGCCTGAGCATGATGTTCAATGACCACTGCCACTTTAATGCTCAGCTCTTATGAGCTGCATATAAATGCCGGCCGTATATGCGTGTAATGTAAGGCCTAGAGCACACCCGACTCGTACTGTCAGTGCCATCGGCTATTTGTTGAACAAATGATTTTGTATAATAATGGCGATACGTGACATATCTTGCTAACAATTTTGTCAATGCGCATCTAGCACGTACTTGATCATACTTAATAGATTATCTATGATTGTGTACCAAAAAAACTCCAGCTAAGTGAAGTGTCGATATCCGTGAAGTGGCCAACATTGGTTGGGTGAAAAGGACTGTAGAGGGGTCTGTGTGGCGTGCGATTCGAGAGGCTTGTTATAGACATTATGGTAATCATTGTGTACAAAATGACATACAGCATACGATCTCTATTTCTATCTGCATAATAATTATAAACCCTTCTGGAGGGGTAAAAGTATGGCAGGACAAGAACATCTCGTTAAAAACAAAGAGCAATCTTGTGCGCACAGTGGTGTTCTCCATATTTTTGTATGGCGCAGAGACGTGGACCCTGAAGAAAGCCGATCGTGACCGCATTGATGCCTTCGAGATGTGGTGTTGGCGAAAAATGCTCGGGATTCCTTGGACGGCACACCGCAATGTATAGATCCTCCAGGAGCTTAAGATCCAGACAAGGCTCTCTTCCATATGCCTCCGCAGGATTCTGGAGTTTTTTGGACACACTGCCAGAAGGGGCAATGATAACTTGGAAAAGTTACTAATCACTGGTAAGGTGGAAGGAAAGAGACCTAGAGGCAGAAGTCCGATACGCTGGACGGATCAGATTCGCACCACTCTCAACACTCGTAAAATAAAATTAAATTATCGAATCAATTCTCTCGTCCTTTAAAAAATCAATTCTCTCGTCCTTTTCTATTAAAGTTTATTACAGCGTTTGTACCCGGAACCACGACTGGACATATCACCCAACGGGTTCCATTTCTGGAAAGCTCGGGTCTGGTCCTGGTCGGGCGACAAGCTAAGCTTGCTCGCCGATCGCAGACCCATTTTTATGGTGGCCGTAGATCGTTGCGCGAATCCTGACTCCTGCGCCATGGTGAGACGTGGGAAGAATAGTCCGCTTGTTCCGCACCAAGGCCTGGACTGAACCCACAAAAAGCCGCCATCAATCGCTTGAACCAGGCACATCAGGTCGTCAGCAAAACAGAGCAATTTATTATTGGTGGGTAAACAAGGCAGGTAGCAAAGCCTCCATGTGAATTGCTGTCATTAAGCCGAAACTATTTAAGACCCAGTTCCCTAAATAAACTCAGTTAAAAGAAAACCATAATTTGATACGTTCAGGTTGGTCGGTGTGTACCGAACATTATAAAGATTGCTAAAATGGTAAAAAACAAAAATGACGTAGGTACCCGACCAGTACGAAGTTATTTTGATAAATATTTTATTTGATTGTGTGCGTATGTCTTAGCTTGTTACCACACTCTTATAACGCGACCACAAACATAAGAATACCTTAGGCCGTCTATTGGTTAGTACCCGTAGTAGTATTTTTCAGGATGATATGAAATCTTTTCACGGTACTGAAGTATCTTTTTTAACCTTTGGACCGCCATGGTCATATTTACGGCCTTATGCTCGCTTACCGCCAGCAGACCGGTACTTCCGGCACAACTTTATACAATTAAACCGCGATCACGGTGACCATAGACTTCGCGCAATACCTAAGGCCCAGAACTTGTCCTACGGGTGCTGAAATGAGGAGACCGCATACTGGTTCCTCTTGCTACGAGCCAAAACCTAAAACAGACCCTAACAAGACAGGTCGTCGCCCCCGATACTTAAGTATCTTGTGTCTAAAGATCTGTCTTTTATAAGGTGTCAATGGTCACCAAAATATGTACATAATTTGAATACACATAGTTCATAGATATTTTATTGTTACTGAACTGTTAGTTGGTACTGAAACCAAGTATCATTGGATGTTATTACCCTGTTCTCATCCTCGCTCCAGAAGTTTGATTTTGTCATCTACCTCTTCAATCTATGTCTACAATTCTCTCAAGTTCTGACTGTTCGTCTTCCCCTACTGGAAGGCCTCTCTCGTATTGGAACACAGTGTTATTATTTAAATGGTCCTCGAGTGGGGTCCGTGGAGTTGATGCCCAAGAGTTATAGAAATCTATTAGCAGCTGGCTTTGCATAAATCAAAAAATAAGAAAAAAACTTTGAACTTACATTTATTAGGTACATTTACAAAGTCCTGACGTTAAACAGACACGGTGTAGATACACAAGCTGCTCTGACGCTTTGCCGTATTAGCGTTACATCGGTGAGATCTCCATCAAAATCGCTCGTATTTGAACCCTGCGCAGAAACTTTACCTGGTCTCCGAAACCAGCATTGCCACGGATCTTCGGAAGTTGTTCGTACATACTAGTCAATATTTTTTGAGTACTCATTATTAGGAGTTAAAAAGCTTAAAGCGCGGGAATATTTGGAAATGTTATTACAATAAAATTACGAACAACTTTACTTGACCTCAACTGAAAACTAAAATTTTACTTGACCTCTAATTTCCCATTAAAAATTAAATTCGGTTCAATTCAATAACCTAATTCTGTTTTTCCCGTCTATAAGAAATTGCAGTGGAAGGTTTGCTTACCTTTTCTAAAAAACCATTTTTTTTATACAGTATTAAAATTTTTTTGGTTGGACATGGATGGTTCTGACAGTAACTTTGCTAAAAATACGTAGGTGAGAAATTATGTTGTTAATATGTTGTACATTTTCTTTTCGTTTTGTCTGTGTTCTTTTTAAATTTATTTACATTATTTATCTAAAGAATATGGACACTTATCAGACAAATATATGATCTTTCATACGGTATTAAAATAAATGTAATATTTCATGCAATTATTAAGAAATTTTATCGTAGAAAAATAGTCAAGTTCATCGAACTGTTTTGTCTGAAAAAATTTTGGACCTTAACCCCGTAGGTACTTAGGTAGTATACGCAAATGTGAATCCATTTAACTGACGCATGTTTAGTAAAACGAACGTGAGGGCTTGGAGGTTAAGGCATCCAGTCTTCAATACTGGACGCACTCTCATGTTTCTGTCGCCCTGAGGGAAGTCAGAGGTATTGTCATACTCTTTCTCTAACTAAAAACCAATCCGTTCCTTCTGCTCCGAGCTGGGCTGCTGTTCATATGGCGCTTACCAACGCAACCTATCCCATCTGTCGGATCGGTGGGTTTCAATGCTTATGCTATGCAACGTTTACAAGTGTTTACTCAAATCACTGTAAGCATGGTCGTCTTAAGGAACCTTTAAATTATGTATTTTATTATAGTTATCTTCAACGATGTCGAATTATACGTATCTTTGACAGTACGTTTAAATATACTGATAAAGTATCGAACAGATGGGTTACGTTATTTTTCATGTAAATTTGTAAAGTTTTCATGCACTTCTTTTAACAATGAATTAGGCTCTTACTGCATTCAAATTATAAATTTACAGAGTAAAATTAATTATATGTTTGGATTTGAATATTTAATATATCTTATTTTCTTTTACTTTAGTTATGTATTTTAAATGTGGGAGAACCTTGCTTCAGCTCGAATCCCCTCTCCCCATCTCTCTTTAATCCCTAAATCGCCTAATCCCCAAAACTCCTCTGGTGTTCGAGGGTGTACCCAGGCGGCGCCGATTGCTTACCATCACGGAATACGGTTGGCAAGTGAGCAGACGCTCACTTGCCAACCTATAACATAAAAAATCTCAATATAAATGTATTTTGTATTATTGTAGGTATCTCTTAGAAGTTTTTAAACATTACGTAATTTGCATGTGTTTATTGTGTAACCCGTTTATTAAAATAATGCTAATTTATGAAAATAACACTGGCTCTATATTAGAAGCAGTTAATACACACATTTTTACTACTTTTGATTTTTTTTATTCATTATTTTATTGTTATCGAACTAAATTTAAATATTGTTGATTTGTTTAATTTTTAATTAGTACAAAATACCTGTTTTCACCATAGTTCACCTTAATGAGACAAAACTGGTTTTTAAAATAAGAAATACATAATGAACAGCAATGTTTAATTAGAAATTCGGTTCCGTGTGTAGTAGTACTTGTCGTAGATTTCATCCCAGAGGTGTGATGTCCTTGAATGGGGATAGTCCATCATCTTCAGCTCGGTACCTATGTCCAGTAGACGGTATGTATCGGGCTGTGTAGGCTCCCACTTTACCTCGCTCTGGTGTGACGGGTCCCTGAAAGTTATTGTATTAAAACATAACTTTTTTACTTCTTTAAAACGGAGGATGTCAGTTTGTAAGGATCATTTTACCAATTTTATGGTATGCATTTGTCCTTAATGTTAGAAGTCGTGGTCATAATTTCATTAAAATAATTAAATATCTGTTTTATTTAAACATCTATTAAACTTACAAATGCTTAACGAAGTTCGTCCATAGTTTTATAACACGCCTCTGCACAGTTCCTTCTTCTCCTTCAAGATTTCCATCAAAGAACAAGTATGCCAGTTCATCTGAATGCGCTGCACCTGTCTTTAGCACTCCAGGCTCTGGCTGAACCCCAAGGTCACCAGAGAAAGAGAACTGGTAGTAGAAGACAGGCGCTGTCGCCGCGTGGTAACGCACGCTGCGGTGGATGTGGCTGGAGAAGTAGGCGTCCCTGTCACGTATATTGTAAATTATAGAAAGCTCATTACAATATTTATATTTTTTTATTCAGCTCTTAGGTTATGTCCTCGATCAGTAAATAATTTTACCTGTGATACTCTAATACAGCCGCCATTGTTAAATTGTTCTTGAAATACATATCCTGTATGAGTCTGCCAGTTTGTTTTCGTTCTCTCTCATTTATAAAGTGTAAATCGTCCGGCAACAAGAATGTGACGCTTTTGGAGATTCTCCTCAATACTTGAGCCTCCCTCAGCATGGACACGAACACGTAGGCTTCGTTACTATTGTATCCAATGATCATCGGCACCGTGTTGTTCTTCTTGCTCGACAGTATATCGTGCGGCGCTCCAAACATCAGCCTCTCCTCTTTCTTCGAAGGCTTTTCGACGCATATTCCAAATGGAAAATAAGAAACATTTAGTTTGTTGCCTCTCGCTACCAAATCCTCAGTGTCAGTGTCAAGTAAGGATTTCACTAATTCATTTTTCGTCTCATCCGCATTTCCCAAAGCCTGAGCCCGTTTCTCCGCGTCATAATTAAAAGACCAAGGGCACAGCGCGCTCCCACTCTGTAGTATAGCACCATGATATAGTCCATTCGCCATAGGTGACAATAGTACGGCTTCGACCATCGCTGCGCCGAAACTTTGGCCAGCTACAACGAGTTTCGCTGGGTTTCCTTTGAAAGCAACTATATTGTCGCGCACCCATCGCAAAGCTAACACCGCGTCTTTTGCACCTGCATTACCAGGTATATTCTCGTCTCGGTAACATAAAAACCCCGATGGTCCTAGCCTACAAAAATCGGTGCTAAGTGCGAATTATTTATTAAATAAATGTAGTGTACACATGAGTGTCGGAAGTGTTGTGATCGTACCTGTGGTATACAATGACCACTATGATTCCCTCCTGTACTATTCTGCCGGGGCTGTAAGGGCCGCTGCCCCCGGTCACCCACACAAGCACAGGCCAATTCCCGGCCCCGGCAGACGGTACGTGGACGTCCAGTTGCAGACAGTGTTCAGCGTCCGACACTACAGAACAGGTTGGTGACCTGGAGTTTCTGATGTCCGACCAGAGTGGAGCGATCCCTGCTCGCTGAAAATATATGGTGCCATTTTGTAACCAGGCTAATTGGGTATACATTTACCTAAGTTCGTGCACACTCTAGTTCAGCGGGTACCCACCTTGAATCTCCCTAATGTGCCTGTAATACTTGCATACGGTATCCCAGTGTAGGACACGTAGCCATCCTTCGCGATTCCTCGCAGCTTGCCCTGAGCCAGACTGATGACATTCTGTGCAGTGACCACCACTTGTAACAACAGCACCAGGTCGCATACCAACATTTATAATAAAAATTTAGTAGTGACCGGTCTAACCAGACGAAGTACAAGTTATAAAGTGACTAGCAAAATGTGAAAGCTGTAGTTTTGTTGAATAATTTTCTGCTGCTTGGGAAACCCCAGTGTTTACACACAATGCGTGTATTATGTTTAATATTCAATATTGTAATGTTGCTATTATATACTGTGTGGTGTAACTCTCCCGTTTATCTACAGTTGACATCACATGCATACCGTATATATGGGACATTTAAATCAATCATTATGCCACCGTTATTCCCAGTTATAGATATTTCATCTATACTAATATTATAAAGAGGTAAAAATTTGTAAGTTAATCTTTGGAACCGCTGGTTGGATTGCCAACATCTTTCACTGATAGACAGATACAATGTTCCTGAGTGCTATAGGCTATAAAACATCACGCTATGTTCAAACGGAGCCGAGCAGCGGGTGAAACCGCGTGAGAGTAGCTAGTTGAAATATAATTAAAGTGTCAATGAGTTGTCATCTTTAAACTCACTGATGTTTTGGGGATATCTCATACATATTCAATTATGCCCTTGGAAATAACGATACCAAGAAAAGAATTCCTTGATTAGAATTGTTTGCTAAATTTGAATCTAGAATTGAATTTCTAATCCAAATTCCAAACATAACTCTCTAGTCGCGCTCCGCCACAGTCGGGTAATAAAAATGCAATGTGTACATCCGCCCGTCGCCATTATTTTATTAAATCATCGAGCAGCATGCGACCGTGTGCAACTGCATCATTGTACTCGTAGCATCGAACGGGAAGACACGAATTACATTAGAAAGTGAAATATTTACAAATGTATTGTGATGCACTAATAGTACACTTAAATAATAATACGTTACATCAGTCGCTTCGTTGTGCCATGCTTTTCTCACAACACAGAAATACTAAAACTACGCAATGTACCATCACTTAAAACTTGTCGCTGTAAGTTGTCTATCACTTGATATACATTAAATGAGGTAAGATGCAATGATTACAAACAATAATCAATACAATTCAGTAACACATAGTTCTTATTTTTCTGTGCGAAACTTTTAGTATTTCTGTCTCGTATTTCTAAATTATCTGTACAAAGTTATTTTAACAAACATCATTCATCGTCTTAAAATAAACCTATTGAAAACAAATTGCAAGATTTATAACACGGAAGAGCTATCACTAACATTCATTACATTATATATGTCAATTTATTATACTGTGGAAATGTCAAAGTTTACAAATATATTCTTAGTCTGTGTCGCAACTGACAAAATTATGCTCTCACTCTTCTCACTTAAACAAAATAAGTCATAACTTGAAGTACCGGTGATCTAAAACACGGTCCCACGCGAGACGCTGTGTGTACACCTACACTGTCATTCAAGTGGATAAGTTCTACCAGTTCGGTGATACAAAACCTCCAGATATAGGAACATAGTTAAAGTGTATAAATGGATACAACAAACAGTTATCGATTTCAACTGATAACTGCAGGCAATGTACAATATTCTGTGTCCGTCTTAGATTTCTTTAAAAAAACCCAAGTTAGTACAACACAACGGAGAAACGGTTACGGCCGCAAAATAAAATAAACTCATTGTGAAATTCGTCAAAATTTGAATCAATAAAATACTAAGTCAATTGAAATGTCCTGTCGTTAAATTTTAAACGCGATATCGCAGGTGTACCTCATCTTTAAAATTCAAAACACATAAAAGACTTAAGTCATTCGAAGAAATTAAAAAGTAACATAGAACGGAGTCGAAGGCAAGAAATAACGTGAGTTACCGACTAGACTTGTGACATTAAAAGTGTCTAAATAAATTATTGCAAGCTGTCGTAGCAACTTCTGCACAGTCTTTGATCAAACACTCGAGTCCGACGCACAATGATTTCTGTGCTTCACTTTACTGTCATCCAAACATCACAGGCGATCAGTCTTACATCACATTCACTTTATTGTGTAAGCTATCGAAGAAGTCCAACACGTCCAGCTGACTCGTCGACCTGCTGTTGGCTCGGAGGACGCCGGGAGCTTCGATCACCTCGATTTGACTGCCATTGTTCTCTGGCCATATTGACCGCTTGTCGTCGCAAATCGGTTTACTGTAACAGAAAGTATTATTTTTCATTATCACGGAACCTAGTCAATAAGATCATTCAGATCTTTTAACTGTATGAATAACTAACTAACGTATTGTAAGTCAAAGTCAAAAGTCAAAATTATTTATTTCAATTAGACCCTTACAGGCATTTTTGAATGTCAAACAAAGTGAGTACGTCAAACGAGTACTCCAGTGGAGCTATTTGCTCGTTCCAAAGTGTAGATTCCTATGGAGAAGGACAAAGAGGTTACTCTTTTTCAATCAGTTTCAAAAACATTTTTTTTTTTTTTTTTGTAACATTATTACATTGGTTCTGCTATGTGAGAACAGTGTAACACTATTTATAACAGTCAATAAGGGACAAAGAAAGTAACCTCTAAAACAAATATTTACCTGCAGGACATGAACTGGACAAACAAGTCCGTCATGAAATTCTTCATTCTTAAATCTTCTAAGCTCTGCGCGGGGGCTTCCCGCCCCCCAAGCACTGAGTTTGCTTTGAACACATAAGTCAGATCTTCGATATGAGCCGCCCCACGGTAATTCGCGCCCGCGATCTCCTTAATGATGCTGGTGGGGCTCTCAAACGTGAACAGGTACAGGAAGACCGGGGCGCCGCCAACTTCTGCACGTTTTTGCGCCAGTTTTAACGCAGGGTACTCATAGAAGCCCTCCGTACATGATTTTACAAAACCATCCAAATTAATTCTACCGTTAGAGTATCTTCCAAGCATTCTTGTTGCCAAATTCGCCCACAATTGTGGCGGAGTCGTGAACAGCAATTTTGGTGGAACTACTAGAAAATGTTGGGACGCGATCTTCTTGACAAGATCAAATGTTTCAAATCGATTGCGGAAGGTCTCACATTCAGCATTCGTGTAGCCTATTATGAGAGGAATATTTTTTCCTCGTCCTTTACTAAGTAAGATGTCTGGGTCGTCATCGATGATGGTGGTGACTCCCGGCAGGGGCGACTCCACGATGGGCCCGAATGTCACCAGCCCCAACATATCTATGAGTTTGGTGTTAGCGTCGTGCAGCTTCTCGGCGGGGAGGTTGATGAGCTGGCGATGTATGTCCTCGGGGTCAGTAGAGGTGATGCCCAAGAGTTGTAAATATATGTTGTTAATGTGTTGCGCGTACGCAGGGGAGGTACTGAAGAAGGAACTCGATGCAGTTCCGCTCATTAATATAGCTCTGTAATTAGAAGACAAGTCGCCATTTTACTTCCATTGATGTTATTGTAGTTTTTATAACTTGCTTACCCTATTACTTGAAATATTGGTTGACAAAAGCGTAAAGAAAAAACAAACAAATAGCCTCGCTTGCTCCTTTAAAGTATTAGTTGCAAATGAATAAAGGTTAAATTTTCCCTTGTCTTGGGTGTGCTCCTGTGTTTTATCAAGTAGAATGACAGCCGCATTTGTTTATCAGCGGTAGGAGAACAATATTACATTCTAAAAAACAAACAAAACTAACTCGGTGAACGAAACACAAGTGCAATTATTATGGTATCAGTACTGAATGGAGGCCTACCTTCTAAATAAACCTTCAGTAGCTTTTGACAATGTGAGTATATGTGCGGCCGCGGCACCGGCGCTCTGGCCGGCCAACGTCACGTCCTTCGGGTCTCCGCCAAAAGCTCTCGCGTTTCTTTGCACCCAGCGCAGCAACGTCACCTGGTCCCGAAGACCACCGTTGCCAGGAACCTCGGTCGTGTTCAGGGATAAGAACCCGAACACGTTCAACCTGAAACATGAAACAATATTGTCGATAAGAATATGTCTAAAAAGTGCGCATCAATACGCGTATACATGGCTACTGAATAAAAATCTATAATATAGCTAACTAGCGGAGCGCCCCTGCTTCGCACAAGTAGGTATCCGACTACCCCATCAGTCATTTGTTATTTTAGCAAACGGCCACAGCACCGAAAGGATTGTTAATTCTCGATATTCCCCTTTACTTCTCTAAAGTTTTCTTTCGTAAGAACCTTCAAAAAAAGAATCTGCAATATTGGTCCAGTCGTTATTGAGTTATGCGCTTACCAACACATTTTGCGATTAATTTTTATATTATAGAATTATAACGTAAATACAAGCAGTCGAAGTAGCAATGTAGTATTTTAAATATATGTACCGGTAGTTAAAAGTGATGACGATGACGTTCTTGCTGACTAAATATTCCGGTCCGTGTAAATCTGCGTCGCCGGAACCGAATGCGAATCCTCCTCCATGTATGAACACCAGGATCGGTAAACCAGGCAATGTGACGTCAGGGTGTTCAGTTGGGAGAGCATCCATCGGGACGTGGATGTTGGCGTGGATGCAGGACTCGCTCATCCCCTGCGGCTGCATGAGCCGTCCATACAAGACGTCGTGTTGGTAGCATACCGGGCCCTCGTCAGTCGCGTAGTAGTAGTCCCATTTCTCTGCAGGCTCCAACTCCTGTAATACATATATGTCAAATAAACTTTCTGAATGAAGGAGGCATCTCTAAAGTTTAAGCTTGTGAACATAATTGGAAGCTAATATTTAGCTTTTTAAGAATTTAAATAGTCCAATGATTCGATTTGATATGTATGGATGTTGCATCAAAATTCAACCAACGGCAACGTCTAAAGTGTAAATAGCTTAAGAAAAAGTTTTTTTTACATAATCTTTGCAATTATGGCAGTTTTTTGTTCGTGGAGCCTGTTTTTCCTTTTGGAGTAGGGAAACCAAATACAGGGTTCAATTCTTTTTGAAAACCCTAAAACTCAAGTAATATTTTATATGGTCTAGTCCAGGGCCTTTGCTCAGCGGTCGAACTTGCAACTACGAGACCAACGAGGCAGGCAGTCAGTAATGTATCTTAAAATATTTATTTTATTTACCTTAAATCGTAGTTCCCCCAATGGTTGCTTAGCGTAAGGCACTCCTCTGAAACTGGCGTACTTGACATCCCCGTCGGCTAGACGTTCCACTCCACACACGGTGCCCGACTCGATGCGCGCGCGCACGCGACATTGTTCCGAGGGAAACACGTGCGCCGAACAAGCTGTAACGCAGAGAATAACATTCGATTAGTATACTGTACTGTGACATCTTATTAAACACAGCATTTTCTACGTAACATACAGACAGACATACACGTGTAACGTAACAATCGATTAACAAAGGAATAAGTACTGAAACGTGCCATGTTATTATTGTTCATGCAATTTTTTTCCGTGTCCCGCGTTACACCGTAACCCCAATATTTGACCCGCTAGCAAATAGCTTCACTACAAGACTGACTGATATTTTTATTTTTAGATTATATGACCTACAAGTACCTTTTCGGTCTAACCAAATAATTAAAAAAGTAATACCTGAGCGACGAATTTTCAAGAACAAGAAAGATCGAATTAATACACATACGTACAGTGCTGCTTAGCACCTACGAGTATACACAATAGATACTATTTGACATCACACACACACACACAACCAACCACCAGAAAGTAAACAGTTACCTCTACGTATCCGAGACAAACTTTTTGTGTATAACCTTGTTTCGGAGTTGTATTACTAATTTTCCTGTTTCAAATACACGTGTTCACAGTCCTCAAAACAAAACTGGTTTCTTCAATGTTCATAATAAATATGTTTTATTTAATTAATCTTGTTATAAATAGCTTCTTTATACTGGGTGACCTTACCGCGACAATATAATCATACCGACACTGCGTTACGATACGATCTTAATTACATAATTTGATAGATTATAAAATATGAATTATAGGAGAACATATTCAGTACAAAAATGAAACTTTTGATGGGAAACGTGTCGCCTGTACGATTCATGTACGGAAAAAATGTGTTATGACATGTTATTAGTGTTTGTAAACAAAACGACGAGATAGAAAAACATACTAATATGATATAAAGATAAAAACGTAACAATATTAATGTATGTATAACACAGTGACCTGCCAATACTAAACCGATTACGCTACACTTCGCGAATACTACAGCTATGTTGGTAGTTAATATTCCGCTCAGCGCATAGTAACGGTTCTGCCGCTCCTGTCTATGTATTGTCTGCTAAAGAATAGGAATGTCGCCTGATAGGCACAGAGCTGTAAATGGCGAGCCCATGCGGTATGCGTGCTCCGTACTCGCCGGTGTACAGTTTGGCCACGGCGACGTATTGCCAACTTCGGTATTGTAATCGTTTAACTTATGTTAACAATCTATTGTGTTCTGTATCTGTGGGACTTCATTACTTATTGTTAGATTTCGAAAAAAAAACAAAGGCTCTTTAAATAATTATTAGACAAAAAGTTTGTAGTTTTTGTAAGTATATATTATTATATCGTTAACCCGTGTCATGAGAGGTTATATTATGAGGTACGTACGAAATGACTTCAGGTTTTTTGCGCGGCGCAAGTAACCGGACTTGTTGTACCTGGGACCTTGTCTCTCGTCCGACACGTGTAGCCGTACGAACCATTCGGAGTTATTTCTGTCTAACTTCCTACACACATTACGGAAATTACTGTGACACAGTTTTTGGAACCACTAAAATTATTATAGATTTGTTATCAAATTGCTCTTTCTACTAGTACACCCGTTTTTAAAACTTAAATAAGGTTCAATGAAATGATAGTTCAACAAATTTTCCAAGTAACAAAATCTGATTCAGAATAAGAACAGTTACATGACATAACAAATTAAATGTTTTACAAACTCACACCTTTATTACCTAATATTTTAGACTATCATTCACCAACTTCTTAAATCAGAAACTCAGAAAAAGCTACACAAAGTCCCAAATCCCATGCACAAACCATAATAAACCATAATTTATTTCTGCTTTCTTTATCGTAGAAAAAATGTGTTACTTAATTTGTGGCACCCGCGGTACAGTGTGCAGTGCACAGGTACTTTAATCAGCGCCGTGTACGTAAGCACCGGTTTATCAATAATCCGCTTTCCTAAGCTGACTGCGGGAGATAACCTCGGGTCCCGTAAACACACTACATACACACTCCGCCCCGCCACTTCACATCACCCTATTTCGACAATCTTTCTTTATAAACTTTTTATTTACCTTCTACCCGCCAATCTGAAACCATCAAATGTATAAATAAATAACCTTCTTTGTGTTTTGTTGTAAAACTGGTCGTATTGTGTGTCCGTATTGGGAATGTATGGAAGCTTCCATTACAACCCGTATTATGGCCGCCGCATACTTAATATTTTTATATCATACTAGTTTTAAATAATAACTACATTTGTATCTATAAAAAGCAAATCAGGTTTATCTACAATTATTTCACATTAAATTTTCGTTCGCACGCTCCAAACTCTTAATTATAATTTAATTCTATTCAAATTAACGCAGTAAAAGATTACATCTAAATAAATATTTAATTTCTTTCTACCCCATTGTACTAAGGTGTGGTTATGTAGGTACCTATACTCCGAATTTACGCTGTGCTCGTGTCATCTTATCCTAAATAGCTGTAAGTATGTGACGTTTTGAATAAAATTTGCAACCGTTCGTAAATTAAAAAAATATCAACAATTAGTAGTTACATACATTTGACATTTTCTTTTCATACATTTCTTATATAGAATAATCCGCAACCGTATTATTTTTTCGGTAACAAACAATTATATACACCGTAGCTCGTAGGCCGTAGCCGTAGCCGTTGCTACGAAAGCTACGAGATTTTAACCGTACGGTGTAGGGTACCGGATGGTTAATATTTACGAGTAGTGTTGCTTACAATTTTACTACGGCCGTATTTATTCATATCTACTTCAGTTAAAATATAATAATCTTGTTTTAATGTGTTTATTATATAATATTTATCATAAGTCACACACAGCGTTTATCTTATACCTACAGTTTTTCATAATTTCAATTTGTTGAACACTGCGGAGCTATTATTGTCCACGACTGACCTAATTTTCAGTAAGTCGATATCTGCTTCAGCGTTCACCACATTTTGTAAATGAATCACGAGAATGAAAACAAATGTTATTGATAGTTGTCAATGTCATGTATTTAGTACGTTATCAGCAGATGTAGCATGCGCCCGCGCATCGCCCGGCGCCCCGTGACTCCTCCTTATACATAGTTATAGGCAGATATCGAATTGCCAATATTGCTTTTTCTGCTGCAGGGTCAGCAGAGGTCGAGGTGTCGTTTTGTTTACTAAGTTGTAGTGGAATAATTTCACCGACCTACAAAGTATGTCAACGTGTGCTCGCCATTATTGTAAACAGTGTATGCACTGCTTAACTAGATTTATAACTTATCATTAACTAGATTCATTACTTTTCTCACTGTAACGTAACTTGAAATGATCGTACGGTTTACTTTGTATAAATCAGGTATTTCAAAAATTACGAAACTTTTTCACTAGAACGCAAAATGAATTGAGTATTCGATCACCACTGTATTGTCACTTGTAAGTAAATGCACTGGGTGTTGACTGCGCGGTACTCACCGGGCAGTAGCAGCAGGAGCGCGAACATGTAGTTCATGGTAGTGCGTGGAGCGGCACACTGGCCGGCCCGGCGCCCGCCCGCCGTATATATCGCGCCCGCACCGCCGCCGAGCTTACCAATGCAAACTTACCACTTCACTTACGCTCGAGACCGCTGTTGTGACAAGCAAAAGTTCGTTTTACCAAACCCTACAAAGGCAGGCCTTTGTAGCAAAAAAACAGGCATGCTGGTATTTTGTATTTTTAAATGTGTAACAACTCTTTACTTTTCTCCACATTACGAAATATTGTTAAGAAGCCGTTTTATTAAATTAATAAAAAATAGGCAAAAACATATCTTAGAAAAACCCATTTTTTTAAATTTAGAACAAAAGTAAACAAAAATCTTTTATTTCTCACTAAAAACGCTACACGTGGCACCAAATATATGTCGTACAAAAAAGGTACACAAAAAATGCACTCGAATAAAAAACAGGTAATAGAATAAATAAAACTTAGCTGCACAGATATAGATATATTTACTGCAACAGACAACAGCCACTCATAGGATAATGTTCTTTATACAAATTATGTAAACAAAGTTTTTCACACTATGTATGTATAGTATATAACTTAAAATAATATTTTGATATACACGTGTAAGGTTAATGGAAAATATTCTACGTTTCTGTTATAAATAGACCGAATATTTAACACGTCTGTGTCGCGTTATTATTTCTCAACACTTCTAAAATATCACAAAAAACACAATAGAATCGAATTTCCGTGGAACCTTAATTATATATGTATCGTTAAGAAAACCCTTTCGTTCTTATTTGCCATTAGAATGTAAAGTAATTTATCATTTGACTATGTACAGGTTTTTCTATGTTATACGTAGCTGTTAGCGGCAAGTAGGACAGGTGGATAAAGTCTTTCTTGTTGTCTATGTAGTGGAAGGTTGCACAACAATGGCAGCAGACAGCGCGCCACGTGTGCACAAGTTGCCGGCACGCCTCCACACGCAGCGGCGCGTGTCGCACGTGGAGCCCCGGGAGCTCGTCCCTACCTTCTTCGCTTATTTTTATACACACGGAAACTTTTCCAACGACTCGTGTATTACCGAACCGAACTGCTGACTTAACAAATCTTATTTTCATTCCTACTTGTCAGTTTCTGGATCGTTGGTCGGCCGCGTCCCGTGATTGACGACATAATTTTGTGTAGGTATTATAGTAACTCAGTAACTAGCACGAGAATTTTAAATTTTGCAGAATACGTTTTAGTAATAGTAATTGGCGTGAAAAATTACTTTCGTTGTTTGAGCGAGACTATCAGAAGAAGGAAACCTGTTGAAAGGAGACAGGGGGCTCCCTACTCTCATAAAGCAAGTAAGGCACTTGTCTAGTGTGTGGGGTAGCCATAGGAAGCAATGTTTACGAGGTTAGGCCATGAGTCGTCAGCTCGTTTATGTTCCTATGTAGTACGTATGTACTACTGTCTGCCCAACCGGTAGATAACAGACCCACTCCTTATGGTTGTTGTTAATGGTATAGTCTAGTTTCATCTATATTGAAGTCACTTACAACCTCGACCAGTCATCACTAAGATCTGACATAATAATAAAGCAAAGTCCATCGTTTAATATACCATAAAAGTTATCGTTGCAGTTAGCTAGTTAATGCAGTGTCTTATGCAAATCAAATGTAAACAAGGAGCTGTTGTTGGCAATGCCCAGTTATACTCATGTACTGAACCATAACGTCATTATACAGATTCATCGTCTATTCTAATTGTTACGTCGAAATATTGACTGTTAACTGTTCATTTCCTAGCCAATCACTGAGCAGTAACTAACTACTGGATTCTTATTCTACATACATATGTTTATTTTTCATATTTTGATTTAACTTCCATAGTTACTACTATTTCTATTACTGGCCGCAAATGTGTTAAACAAAAGCGATTTGGATGATATTAAACCTCCTAATAATCTATTAAGAGGTTTTACAACATTTCCAATGATTATCTCGCGGTAACTCTGTAGCACCAGGTACATTTAAGTCCTTATTATTTATTTATAATGACTTTTACATAATTCGTCCTGTGATATGACTCTTTATAATAGTGATGTATAAAGAAACACGCTCACATTTAAATGCAGTCCGAAAAATGTTACCATACATGTAAACCTTAAATGTGGCACTGACATCCCATGCTCGCCTCTTGTCACACCGTATAATACAACATAAACTGCAAGTATATACCATGTCGTGACCTTGCACGATGGCTCTAAATATATTCACATGATCTTCTACTTGACATAACAAACAAATTCCGGTTAGTAAAGTAACACTTGATTCTTTTTTTATACCCCAACATGTTTCGCGAACAGGTCATTGACATAAATAACTAGGAAATGTGTATTATCGCCATGTTAATTAAACTAGAGATCCTATTGCGATCGCGTTTACATATTTATTGAATTTATTACGTTTTACGAGTCCAACCGATACTTAAATACACCCGCTGATAATTATGTCCATTTGATTGCAAATACCTCTTTGTGTATTAATTTTTTTAAAAGTTACTATGTTGTAACTTTCCAAAACACGTGCCAATACCATCAATGTCATTTAATATACTTTGTGTAGGTAATTCATTAGTAAATGTTATGTTTTGTTGCAGGTAATTGTACTACCGACATCGACGGTTATTCGCTGTATCAAAATCGGTAACCACACATGTGAAGGTATTAGAATCAACAGTTACAAAATCCCACGACATTCTCATTCTACCCTCAATTCCTAAAATAAATCAAAATTATCATTTTGTACTTGACATAGTAAAACAATCACAACTCGTGTTGGACAACATACAATATTGCCTTTATAAAATAAATAAACAAACATAACAACAATATATCAATAAAAAGTAATCAATTTCCAAATGACCTGAAAAAACATAGCGCCGGTCCATTGTGTTATCACTTGGCGCGTGTAACTGCTTACAAGTGGGTCAGCTCAGCTCGTTGGCCGACCCTTACATCCCTGAGGGACATGAATCACAGCTCACAGCCTATGCATACAACTACACTAGAAAACACTAAAAGGTTTTATCAGCATGTGATCCTAACACACTCCCGCCACTAACTCGATAAGTGCATTATTGGGAGATGACTAAATCAAAGTTAATTGATGTTTTGCACGTAATATCTTATCGCCGACGTGTAGCTATGTATTGTGAAGGTGACTCAGAATTCGTTAATATTACCCTTCAATATTCTTATTCAATACATTAGGCAAACAAATAATAAAGAATAAATTACATTATGACATAGTATTTAACCTAGTTATGCCCAAATTTAATTCTAAATAGCATTTAGTTACAAACCTGCGGAACAACAAATGACATTAAAAATATACGCTATGTATAATTATATTATTAGAATAAAAAACGATCAGAATTTAATGAATATTAACGAGCAATAAAATATTATAATTAAATATAAAAAAGAAGAATGTTTCCTTGAGGGAATTGGAGCAAATAAAAAGTCCCAAAAAAATTATCACATGTCTGTAAAATTAAAAAAGCGGGTTACTGCGTGCCGAGTTGCCTTGACCATAGCAGTGACGCAGCGCGCAGATATGACATAAGATGCACTTGATAACTCGACCGAAACTGATCGCAGTCGTAAAAATACCGCTTTTAATAATCCCGGAACTCTGATGCAACTCAAGGACATCCGATAATCCGCGAGATTCTGAATCACACTCAATCATCGATAGGAATCGGACTGTGGACAACGTGGATAGGTTATTGTTTGGTCACGGGTTTGCTTTTATTCACAATTTAAAAACTTTCATAATATGCTGCCTAAAATACATTCATCACTGCCTCTACCCCTATTGTCATAGGATTCGGCGTAAGGACAAAAATTTTGACGTTTGAAGAATTATTTGACGGAACCGAGCAAAAACACTCACTAAATCTAGCACTGCAATGTCCACTGACGTCAAAATCATGAAAAACCTTCTTATGCCTTTGCATAGCACCGCCGCGGGGGTGCCGCGTAGATACTGATGATACTCAAAAAACAAGAGCACAATCAGTAATAATATATAAATAAGTAGGTACCTTTAAAGCCAAAATTAATCTCTGTCCATTCCAAATGTAGAAGTGATATCATTTCAACCAAAGCCACATAATCACTTTCTCAAGTGAAAGATTAAAATGCGCGAAATCAGTTCATAAATACAAACCTGTAAACTGAAGGTAAAACAACTACGAACCTTACTGCATCACGTTTAAGTTGAAAATGGTGTACTACAATCAAGGGGCTGTTGTTATCAGTCGGTCAATGAAGTCAGTAAGTCAACAATGTTTCGGTTCAGGATGATATTTGATGCGAATTTAGATAAAAAGTTGGCGTTTCATACACGTGTCCAAGTGATTCACACGTGGATATCCTGGCCTTGGATCGCGCACAGTTTATGTCAATTACAAGGGTGATTGTTATTTAAAGTTATCTGTGCGTAAATGACCATTTGTTCAACCTCACATCATAGTGTTAGTTGTTTCTATGGAAACACGATTCATAATGCAACGTCTCCATTATTTAGAAAGTATTTTGGGAAAAAAGTCCTATACAAACTTACCTTCCTCTAACATACATCGTGCTTATAGTAAGGACTCCCATAATATTAAAACAAAAGTCTACTGAATCATTACCAAATTAGCATATCGGTTGTTTGTTAAGCGCAAGGCGTACAATGACGACATCTTTTAAAGTTTTCCTCTCATAAAAATCGAATTTCTCGGTATTCGGTTATCATTTTGGTTTTCATATCTGTCCAATATTTTGCCAACAAGCATTGCATCGTAGCTAGATAGCGATTGATCAGACTAATTAAGCGTTGCAAAAATATCCCGGTGGTGATAACGTGCGCGATACTGTACAGCTGCTGACCCGCAACGTTCGTACGTTGCGATGCGGAAGCTCTAGTCTGCGCCTTATCACAATACCTTACACTTTGCAGACAATACGGCACCGAATATGTTCCCCACAAACACTTCCTTCACACATAACTGTAGTTCCATACGTCTGAATTTATATCTGCAACATCCTGTCCTGTCCACTTCCAATTCAAATTATTTTTATTTATCTTGCA